TAGTATATAGTTGTGTATATATAAACGAGTAGAGTAATAATATATATATATATAATATATATATATATAATAATATATATAATAAATATATATATATATCTATATATATATATAATATATATAATAATAGATATCAATTATTATTCACTCCTGATATAAGGTATATGTTTATGTGTATAAAAATAATATGTATTATCATGTATACGTCATGTTATATAATTATAACATGAAGTATACATGATAATACATATTATTTTATGTTATTATTATATATTATTATTATATTATTTATATCATATACATGTATTATTAGCTCGTGATAGTATAGTATCAAGAGTAGATAATAACAAGAGTGAGACACCCGATTCCCGCATTTCTAACCAATATTTCTCATCAAAATTTGCCACCAATAAAGAAGCAAGTGTATACGTTCCTCAGCTTATTATGACCACTAATCACTCACCTTCGTGGTACTGATATTTGTTTACGTATATTTGCTAGCGTATTGCTGTAAATCGTAATCTTGCACGAGCTGAATTCGCCCAATTTACCGCTAAAATGGCGCTATTGTGTAACGTGTTAAGACAAATTCTAAAGCTTTAGTGGCGCCAATATTTAGCAACGGACTGCTTCCAAATCATTCGTGCTCCGATAGGGTTGAGAGACAATCTAAATTTCGAATTTTGATCTCGTGAAGAACCGCGAGACGCGCTCAGTTATTGTGATCGCATAATACAAGTAATAATACAATAATAACAATATTCTCTGTAGTAGTTTGCAGTAAGTATCACATTACGCACACGCAGGTAATAAAGTACATTAAACCCCTATCGGGGCACGAATAATTTGGAAGCAGTCCGTTGCTAAATATTGGCGCCACTATAGCTTCAGAATTTGTCTTAACACGTCACACAATAGCGCCATTTTAACGGTAAATTGGGCGAATTCAGCTCGTGCAAGATTACGATTTACAGCAATACGCTAGCAAATATATGTAAACAAATATCAGTACCACGAAGGTGAGTGATTAGAGATCATAATAAGCTGAGGAACGAATACACTTGCTACTTTATTGGTGGCAAATTTTGATGAGAAATATCGGTTAGAAATGCGGGAATCGGGTGTCTCACGCTTGTGTATTATCTACTCTTGATAGTATTGAGGGGCGGTCACTAGTAGTCAGTAACCGTCAGTAGCAGCCGCATTAGCGTGATGTCATCCACACTATTTGTGTGACGTCGGCACGCTGTTTGTGCAACGTGTACACGTTATTTGTGTGACGTGTACACGGTGTATTGCAATGTTTAAGTGACGGATGTTTGTCTGTCGTCTGCACAGCAATAATATAACGTAAACACAGTCCACGTGTGATGTCTGCACAGTGTTCAAGTGACGTGAGCACGATATTAGCGTGACGTAACCACGGTGTTTGTGTGACGTCTGCACAGTGTTTCACACATTGTACGAACATTCATTTATTCATGTGTTGCCGCCGTCAGTGGGTTACAGTACGTTGGTCTAGAGATTTTCTCAATCTCTCCAATTTCATCAACCTCTGCAAAAAAACTAGTTGTCGACTAACTAACACTACTCCTGCAATCTCATTTGATTCTGCAATGTGGCGCCGCTCTATTGTAACTATATGCTACTGCTGAAATCTCTGTCAGGCTGGGTTTGGCGCTTGCTTCAAATCTCATCTGACTGGGGTTTTTTGCAATATGGCGCCGCTTAATTTTTAATCTGCTACATTCTCTACATGTATAGATTCGGTGCTGTCTCCCGGCACTGTTGTGCGTAGAGCCCGGTAGAGGGAGCAGCCGGAGCTGCATGGGTATAGTACTGCTATAGTACTGCTATAGTACTGCTATAGTACTGCTATAGTACTGCTATATAGTACTGCTATATAGTACTGCTATATAGTACTATAGTACTGCTATATAGTACTGCTATATAGTACATGCTTGTCGCATCTGCGTTTATTACAGGAGAAGGCGACGCACACGCAGAAGACGGTCATGTAGCCGGAAGATGGCGCTACGAACGCGCGCACCGATGATGGCGCCCCCTCTCGTCAGAAGTCAGCTTGCGTGGACGCGTGACGAAGAAGCGGAGCGACGACAAACAAGAGAACGTCGCGGATGCTTTTTAGTTGTTGATTTGTAGTTGCTGTTGTTGCTGTTTGTGCGAATTTCCGCTACATCAAGCGATCCATGACGATGATGACAAAAACGATGATGATGATGACGACGATGATGACGATAATGATGACGATGACGATGACGGTGATGACGACAATCACGATGACGATGACGACAACGACGACAATGCAACACCGCACACCGACGTAAGCTCTGCTGCCATCGTCAGCAACACCGCGGCGCTTGTACTTGCTTCTCACAGCGTCGGTTGCTAGGATACGCGTGACGTCAACCAACGCGCACACGCGAGTGGGGACGCCTTCCATGGGCGCGGCTATTTTTATTTTAGCCACTTGGCATTTATATTAGATAGGCATGAATCCCATGGGGACCGCCTGCGGGGTAGAGTAGAAACCGTAGCAGGGGACGGGAAATTAGCTTAGGTTGATACCGTTAGAGTACAGGGCCGTAGGCTGAGCAAATTCCTAGGCGGGCGGGGGGGGGCAAAATTGTATGACTCAACTGTATAATGATAAGCGACGGGCGCATGCAGCTCTTGATCGACGTCCATGGTGTGGTAGGGGTGGGGGTCTGAGACAAGGCTTTCACGGATAAGTGACCAAGAAAAATCACGTTAGAGTTATTTACGATTATTATATAAGCTTATTTTTTAATTTTGCTCCAAAATCTAGGGGGCAGCTGCCCCTTCTTGCCCCCCCCTCCCTACATGCTACGGGCCTGGAGTAGAGGGAGGCTGCACTGGCTGTTCACAGCTTAGATATACATGGTAATAGCGGTAGCTTGAATTTCCTGGGGTGGTGTGGGGTGGCCACCGGGCTAGGGTTAGACCCGGGGTCAGTGGCGGATCCAGGGGGGGGGGGGCAAAGGGGGCGGTCGCTCCCCTAGCTTCAGGGCAAGACTATTTTAGCCTAACACCCTCCCCCCTCGGGCGCTTCGTGCACTTGAGCTCGCATGATGCGCCCCCACCTGGAATTCACTTCTAGATCCGCCACTGAGGGTGGGGTACAAGTTACAACCACCAGGGTGGGGTCCCCAGGGGCGGATCCATGATTTTTGAAAAGGGGGTGTCCCTGAAGAAATAAAGGGCACTCTTTCCTGCATAATTTTTCTGGTGTTTTAATAAGCTGCCAAAGGCCACTTAGGTGGGGGGGGGACCTCCCCCAAGAAAGTCTTTAAAACTTGCTGCATTCTGAGAGCATCTTGAGCAGTAATTTTGATATCTAGAATGCAAGATGGAATTCCAAATTTGTAGCAGAAAATTATCTTGTAATTTTTTAGGGCACTTTGAAATTAAAGAGGGTCCGGACCTCCGGACCCCCCCACTAGATCCGCCCCTGGTGCCTCCCATGATGGTGCGACCCCCAGCCCTCCCGGCGGGTGCGGGAATCTACTATTTATGTTGAATCCATGTGTGTGTAAAGTTCCTACTTGATAATTCCTCCTTGTTCCTACTGCCTTATCTTCTCGTATAATGAAAAACAAAAAATTTACTTGATTTGTCGTACATATATTGATTTGTCGTTCATATATTGATTTGTCGTACATATATTGGCGAAACCTAATAAAACGTAAAAAAACGACATAATAATCTCAAGCTATAATACATTAGCTAATAATACACGTATTATCAGCTCTCGATATAATATATATTATAGAGGGGAAGGTGGGGGTCCTACCTGGAATTTCACGGAATGTTTAATAAGGAACATTGCACACGCACACGTTGATTGCTAGAGTTTCGAGCCCTAGGTTGAACAATAGATGCACTCTGCATCTTTGACGTAGGGTTTCTCTGACGTAGGGTCTCCATGACGCAGGGTTTCTCTGACGTAGGATCTCGCTGACGTAGGGTTTCCCTGACGCAGAATTTCCTTGACGCAGGATGTCCATGACGCAGCATCTCACAGACGCAGGATCTCCCTGACGCAGGATGTCCTTAAAGCAGGATTTCCCTGACGCAGGATCTCCCTGACGTAGTATCTCCATGACGTAGGATCTCCCTGACGCAGGATCTTCCTGACGTAGGATCTTCATGACGCAGGATCTCCCTGACGTAGGATCTTCATGACGCAGGGTTTCCCTGATGTAGGATCTCTCAGACATAGGGTTTCTCTGACGTAGAGTCTCAATGACGCAGGATCTTCATGACGCAGGGTCTCAATGACGCAGGATCTTCTTCGGGTGTAGGGTTCCTCTCTGATATTT